GCAGGAGAACACCGCCCCGCCCCGCCCCGCCGCGCCCCGCAGCAGCAGCGCAAAGCGCCTCTCCTTCGGACCTGAACCTTTTCCGCTCGCTCTGCTGCTCCGCCAGAACAAAACCAAACGGAGAGTAAAACTTTGTCATGTTTGGAATGCAATCCGCGCTGCTGGACCCGGCTGGCCTGCTGCTGGCGGGGCGATGCGGGGCCGGGAGCTGGTTGTGTTCCGTCCGCCCCACCGCCGCCCGCCCCGCCCCGCCACCGGTCACCTTTGACGCTCGAACTGAGCAAAGTGTTTCCAAATGGTATCGGGGCCGGGACCAAAAGCCCCTCCTCAGCCTTGTGGGCTCCTCCCCGTGGCACAGCGCCCTCCCTGAGTACTATTGACACAGCGCGGGGAGGTGCACACATCCCCTGGCCAGGACACCCTCCTCCCGCGCAATCAACAACACGTCGATGTCCTAGAAAAAAAAAATGAAAACGTCCGAGACGAAACCAGCAAAGCACAGAATGAGTCCGCGATTGCAGAGGACCGAGAGGACCTCAACGTCGCCATGCTCTTCGCCCCGTTAAAACCATAAATGCACACAGGCAAAATGTATACACACACACACCTTTGATACACGCATCATGTTCTACCTACACCGACAAAACGCACATGTATAAGCAAAGCAGATAAGAGTTGCAGCAGTAGTAGAGGGACGTTCTTTTACACGCTCTGCCAATGTTCTACAACTACATATTACTTCATATCTACAAAATAAAGTGCACGACATAAGTAGAAATACACGAGGGCAGGGCCCCTACTACAGACTATGGCACATCGTTGGAATATAATGCTCTTCACTCAGCCTAATGCACTACGAACGGACGGCACTTTAGGTACTCACACAGCGTGGGCCTGGGAGCGAGTGCGTAAATGTACTAGAAGTGTGTTACACCGTCTCGAGTCCCTCACTCTGCAAACTGAAGTAAAACACACCTGCCGTCAGCTCGTCAACAAGGAGACCACCACAATCTCACAAAGAGAGGGGAGACATTTTAAAAAAAGGGAAGAGGGGGAGGGGATTGCAGGTGATGTGCACCGTACTTGTCGGGTGACGCAGTGCTGCCAATCTCAATGTCACTCCCTAAAAAAGGGTAGGGCAACAAGACGGGGCGACTTAGGCTGTTGTCCTGCGAGGGGGAAACAGGGGAATAGACACTCGTACTGTACTTAGCAAAACTTTTCCTTTTCAAAATACATGGGCGAAAAAAATCAACCCCTTTCGGACGCGGTTAAGGACACCGTGCGCCGGAGGCACAAAATCCCTACCGAGACCTTTCTGGTTGAGAAAGACAAGAAGAGCTAGAGGGGGAGCAAACCGGCAGAAAAAACGGAACGGCCGCGCCTTCGCCCCTTTCTCCTGTTGCGGTGTAATAATTAAATGCAACAAAGAAGGAAAAGGCTCTTAGACGACTTCCGCCAAGGACGGACTGACGTTGGCGACCGTCCCCTCAGCGAACCGCGGTGCTCTCTGCACCCATTTTTATTTCATTATGCTAAAGATTCTCTTGCATAACCGACTGAAAAGAATACCACAGCACAGGAAAAGAGGAGAATCTGTACAAGAATCCCCCTCACCCGCCCCTTCTTTTTCAACCCCCCCTCTTCCCTTTCTCTGGAATGCTTTATCGCCGTATCTCGAACCGAAAATCGATGACAAATTAACCGCTCTGTGGATTTAGCGGGGAGTCAGAGCCAGGCGGGTGACGGACGCCTGAAGGGCCGCGTTGTATTCCACACCCACACTGCATCCTCATCGATTGACGGTGCAGAATCAGACAAGTCGGGTTATGAACTCCCGGCGCACAAAAACGTGTGCGAGCAGTGTGGAGCCGAGCCGGTGTGCGGGAGGTCCACCGCCGCGCCAATGTTGCCCGATTGCAGATTATTCGCATTTATAGGTATCGAGTCCTGCTGCGCAATAAAATGCGTGAGAGTGCCACGCGGGTATGGATGGTGTCCGAGACCGCTACCCCCC